GCCTCTTCCTCCGTACTATCGCGCACCGTACTATCGCACCACCGACTTAACCTCTAGAATGTGTTTGTGATATCGAACAACTGCTTGATCTTAACTAATTTCAAGAATTTTTAAATTTCCAATTTAAAGATAACATATTTTCGCTACAGCTCAAACATCCCTTAATCACTTCCAACATGATAGAAGCACCAATTATATAGAAGTTGTTCCATTTTACCACTACTATTAACATAGATTTTAATAATCGCATAGCACGAACATTATTTGTCAATTTTGCATTTTAATCTAGTAGGTCGTGTTTATAAGCGTACATGCAATTACAGCGGCCGACGGAGCGCGACGGCCGCGCTCGAGACAATTGACACAATCGACGTGGAGTGACCGACTCATTACATTATGGACGTTTGATCTCACTAATGACACTGCTGCGTCCTAGCATGTCATTGTCCCAGTCTCAATGCATCTACACGAGATATCTCAATCATCTACCTAGATAAAACAGTCAGTTTAGACGTTAAGCGGCTAACCTCTCACTATTTGCGCTTGTTATCTTGTTAATGAAATGGCTATTAGCGTCTATTTTCGCACTTATATTGTAATTTTTGCTTTAGAATCTATAATAAAAACAATCCAAGTAGTGTGTTTTGTTCTATTTTATTAAATAAAGAAGTCAAAGGTTCACTTCAAAACCCTTCTGCCTTAGTTAAAACCGAAATGTGTCAGTGATTTAAATTTTATCCAGTCACTGAAGAATAATTGAATATATAAAAATTTCTTTATAAATCCATTCTTTTTCATCGGTTTCCTCCCTCAATCAACGGAGCTCAATATAAAATGGACGGTTTGAATCTCAAACGGACTTTCACAATTTTCGTTAACAGTCTATTTGAAGAATTGCCAAAAAGCGACATGTGTCGCCGAAAACACTTACAGAAGAGAAAACACTGTGAGTAAATGTATACATATATAATTTTGAAACTATAAAAGTTCATGGAATCAAAATTAGTAACCAATAATTCAATTCATTACAAAGATTTTTTTTTCTATTACGTAAATAAGTCACATGTACAATAAATATGATAGAACAGATTAGCAAAACAATTTTCTCCTAAGCCCATTAAGTAAACTGTTCCCATCGACCAGTTCTTTATACCAATAAACTAAAATAGATGAAATAACGTAAAAGCTATAACGTTACGTAAGTCCAATCAAACGGTTGTAAATCAAAGTAAAGAAAGCACGCCTATCAAAGAGCTAAATCAAGTTTATACGAAACTAATCCCTGAGCAATATAATTGAAAGCCATCAATATGAAGTCATCGACCTAAACAAAAACAGACTCCATTCAGTTGATGTCCGGCGCATATTCAGTAGATGACTGGCGCAGCAATTTTCACATTATTCATGCCGTCTGAATATTCATCCAACATCGGTTGACCTGCCATTAATTGTTATAGCCAGGTGCCGGTGCTCGACTCATTGACGCCGACGCCGTACGACTATTAATGCTGAATTACAGCTTGTTAAAACATAACTACGACTAGATTTAACGATTCTTTGTACAGGTTTTTTAAGTTGATAGACTCGCATTTTAAATATTATTAAGGCTATTGTCGATTGTTTTCGCAACTAAAATTCTAGTAGTGTTCGCACCTCCATATAAGGTCATAGGAATCAAAGCGAAACAAAACAGTTGTGCGATAGTTTAGTTTCAGGTGTGCGTACGCTCTGAACAAAATTATTTGCAATCTTAATTGGATTTTTTGTTTGCAAATTCACTAAATATCCAAAATTGACGATAATGATGTTACAAAGATTCTTCTGATTTTGTTTGCATTGCTATTGTAATTATCTTAATTAGATAATGTTTAATTTGTTTTTCGGGTGTATAAGCCGATTTTTTGCAATCTGTATCTGTACCATGTAGACATTTAATTTGGTTCGCTTGTCCATATTCATCAATTAGGTTCGACGAACCAGACGGCCGTGTCTCACGCCTAAATGTATTATGGATGGAACCTTCGATTCGTAAAGCTCATCGATGTTTATTACAAGAGTTGTGTGAATATTGATTTTTGGGTCAACAGCTTCACTTTATATCATTGTGTAGGTGCTTTATGTGTCTTTTGCATTTTATTTCTATACCCCGAGGCGTACGAATGACCATAGTGAATACGTACTCAAACTATTTATTACGTGTTAAATTGCATGTGACAAACGCTCGCCTTGAGAAATAAAACTGTGGTATTTCTACCTTATAAAACTGAATCATTTAGAATTAATTTAAATGTTTGCGTTTGTAGTCTTTGCACAACGCTTATTATCCGTCATGAAAATTTATAATATTGCTATTTTCAACTTTATCACAGCTTCAAATGCAGTTGAAGTGACTGAATTTGTAATTGATTTCGTGTGTAGAATACCTTTATTAAAACTAACGAGTAAATGAATAGGTTTACTCAATAATTCTAAACCTAGTAAAAACGCTGTGGAAATTGAAATGTGGAATGAACCGCCTGGTCGTATTTATTTCATCAATTATAGAAATATTAAGTGCATTGGCTTTGTTAGTAACCATTTCCTTACCTTAAATGTCTAGACTTAATATTTCTACAGATTTTGAATTGATGGACCCTTCATCGTTGTCAGTTTTTCTACGCAGTACATTCATCTAAGATAGTAAAGAACACGTTTTTTTCGCCATGAACGTAATCGTTCTCAAAGTTCAGTATGCCTTTCTTTTAGATAAAGTCAACAATAAACTTTTTATACTTTTGATACCAGATACACGAGAGACGGGCTTCGTGAATGCGATCACCGCCGCTGGGGTGACATACGCCATCACACGAGCCTGTACTGCGGGAGCCTTGCTAGAGTGCTCTTGTGAAAAGGTAACGATTTATGAGTTATGACCCACGACTGGTTTGTTTCACGGCTCTTCAATTGTTTTTTTTAAACCAATTAACATTAAGATATTTTTCAGGAAGTACCCAAACCACGTCGTGGAAAGGTTACGCCAGTGCCCCTTCCTCCTGCCCCGGTGGAGACGGAGCGGTGGCAATGGGGCGGCTGCAGTGATAACATACGCTTCGGCCTGATGAAATCCAGGGAGTTTATGGACAGTCGTTACAAGAAACGAAGTGATAATATAAAGACTTTGATAAAACTTCACAATCACAACGCTGGGAGGTTGGTTAGTAGCTATTCATTTAATTTACCAATAACTGAAAATTGTATAGTTTGATTTTTTTAGGAATACACATAGATTTTTTTTTTGGCTTAAGATTGATTATTAAGATTATATTAGATTGTTGCCCAATGTCTTAATTAATACAAAGTACTGCACAGATAATTTCGGTGTTATCTTCGATCGTTTTGTTTATTTTTTTTCGTTGATGTTAAGAATGTTTTGTTTCCAGGCGATCAAAAATAATATGAGAGTAGAGTGCAAATGTCATGGACTATCAGGTTCGTGTACTCTACGCACGTGCTGGTGGAGAATGCCAGCATTTAGGGAAATCGGGAATCGACTTCGAGACAGATTCGAAGGAGCATCTAAGGTAATAACTGAAACAGTTAAAAACATCGCTTGATCTTATCGGTTTTAAAAGATACCTTTGTCAGTCAGAGTTTTATTTAAAAATGCGTTTGCTTAAATGAATTGATTATTTTAATTTCTTTTTTAGGTTATATCTAACAACAATGGAGAAGGTTTTATGCCAGAAAGTCCTAACCTAAAGAGCCCTGGCAAGAAGGATATAATTTACTCCGAGGAATCACCAGATTTCTGTAAACCTAATATGAAGACTGGATCTCTAGGTACAGAAGGTCGTCAATGCAACATCAGCTCCGCCGGAACTGATAGTTGTGACCAACTTTGTTGCAGAAGGGGATACAAGCAAACGACAATAAAAGAATCAGAAAACTGCAATTGTCAATTTAAATGGTGCTGCGAAGTAATTTGTCAAACTTGTTATATTAAACGAGATATACAAACATGCCTATAATGTGATAGATTATATTTGGTTATTATTAAAGAAAGCAATCATTTCATTTTTTGTGTTACCCCTTCATCTTGGTGAATATTCTTTGCAGTGTTCTCGTTGTTTCCCATGATTCAAAATCTGAAATATCACGGAACGGGTCACTTGGTTTTTTGAGAACTTTCTTTAGTTGCATAATTTGGCCTGGTTGGTTTACATCTTCATGTGATTCCTTCTTCACTTCTTTTAATTGTTTCATAATAGTATTCTCTTTTATTAACTTTTTCTTTATGCTGCCTTCAACTTTGTTCTCTTTTTTCTCATCAGTATCATCATTGGGTTTCCTTTCCTCTGTATCATTTTTATCGTCATTGCCATCAGTATAAAGGTCTTTACCAGCTTCTGGTTCCTTCTCATCGAGCTCATTTTGTTCTGAAGGTCGATCATCAGGAAGCCCTAAATATTTATTAGGTTTCTTTCTAGGTTCAATTGTATCTTCTACCGTTGGCTCATAATTACTAAAGTTAGCACCAAGTTCAAATAGCTTAATACAATCGGATGCTTTAAGAGAATAAGCTACCTTCCTTGAATTATAATTGTAAAGCATCCTTATTTTCCAAATGTCGTGATAACTGAAGCCTCTGCTCTCTCCGGGAACCATATTTATTTGTTTCTAAAAAAAAGTTTGTTTAATTTGAGATTACAAGAATACTTTAAAAACAAGGGAAAGCAAAGCAATACGAAATAGCAAAATATGCTTTTTTGTTTAAATATGCATTAGTTCAACAAAAGTTAAATTTAACCAGCAAGCTATAAATTCAGGTTTACAATTGTTTTTGTGGTCAAATTATCAAATTTATGAACAAACACACCTTTACTTCTATAGTAGCATAACCATTTTTGGTATATTTATGAAAATGATAATGGCCAGCGCTTAGATAGTCGTAAGGTATATCATGAAACAACCATTCATTGTCATTGACAGCTTGAAACAGATGATCTTTTTCTGTAAATTATAAGTAAACATAAATTATTTTAGTAATTACACACCATTTTTACTTCTTTTTTCAATCTTAGAATTAGTACCTTCATGGTTGAAATTAATGTTATATGAATAAATAAATAAAATGCTCCATCGAAAGTAGAACAAAATCATTATCAAATGGCCCTTGTCCCAACTGAGGGTTGGCACAAAATCTCTTCTATATTAAATCAGCTATCAGCTGTAATATCTGAATTCGTTCCCATAAGCATATCTTCTTTCACACAATTCATCCATACTTTCTTCGAACTACCTGTATAACCATTCACATTAAACCTTTTTTTATTATTTATTATGTCAGTAGAACAATATACCTGGTAAAATATTTTCATGGTCTATTGTAATATATTCATTGCGGTCGGGAGAATTGTGCTGGGGTGGTACTCCAGCCAAGGCAAGTATAGCTTCTGCGAGTTCACCGCCAGTTACCAAGCAGTCATATCCCAAAATTACCTTCTGTGAATGAAGAAATTTAAAGCTTGTTTTATTTTAGATTTCTAAATTAGAATATAGTCTTATAATAACTACCTGCACTCCTTCGTTACTAAAATCTTTAATAGAGTGATCAGCGCAATTGAGAAGACCTTGACGGTTGACAAAAAGGACCCATCTTGTTTTCTCGTCGGTCGGTGGTTTTGGCAGCTCCATGAATCTCAGTCCAGTTACACGGTTTGTAAGGTCAAGGTAATTACGAATTCTGTCCCGGAGTACTTTATCTATAAAGAGAAAAAAATACAAAGATTTGGAGAAAAAGATACAAGACTTTGTCGGGCATTTTAGGTTAGCTTTTAAAAATTGTCTTATATAAAGGGGAAGGGAAAGTATGCAGGCGTATTGCATGTAACAAAGGTACCCGTTATGTGTTACATTCACACTGGCGTTTTTTAACAGTCGGCAGAAAAGCGTTGAAATTAGATTACTTTGTTTCCATATATCATCTGTTCATGTGGCAGCGTTTTGTTTTGTAATTGTTTTGTATTGCGTTTTGAGCACTGGATGAAAGAGCGTTAAAGAACGCTAAGCCCGAGCGTTAAAAAAGCGTCAGTGTGAATGTAGACAAAGCGTGTCATGCTATAGTTGGAACAAACGTCAAACACTATAAGTACCGAAAGAGAAATCATCAATGTAATAGGGAATATTTCCCTGTGGCCAAATTTTAAATTTCTTCATTTCTTCATCGGTGAGATCGAACCCGGGTTCTGCGTCTTCGAGTCCGCTCGGCAAATTGGCGTTGTCTCTGATAACTCGCATATCTCTCCTCGATGGTAAGATGGTTTTACGCAATGATCTTGCGTAAGTGTCATATAAGTGACTATACTTTGAAGCGCTTGCAAATATTTGATATTCTGATAAAATAAAACAATAAGAAAAAACAAACTATTAAAGAGATTTAGTATTATTCGAGAAAGATAAATTAGTCAGTCTTGGTATGAATTCTTAAGTACTTTTTTGGGTTTAGAATACTCTTATTGAACAGGATGAGTATACCGTATTCATGCAAATTTCAAATATTTGTAGTAATAGTTCTTGATTTCGAGAATTATATCTACATTTTGTTTATTTGATGTCGGGATATTTTTTCTTTTTCCGCTACTCAAGAAACAGTAATTAGGTACAAAAAATCAAAAGAATTTCAATATCACTTAAATATCTACACTAAAATGCAATTAAATTTCTTTGAAACACATTATTGAATTTTATTTTATCTATTAATTTATAAAAACATTTACATATTACGTTTAGTTGTTTTTATTGATTAAAAAAAAAGATATTACAGTTCTACTTAGATATTTATAACGGAACATAATCATTAGACCTAGTTTATTTTATTACAATTACCAACAAAAAATATTAAGGCAATTCAAATTGCTAAACTAGTATGTAAAACAGCTGAAATAATAATCAAATAGTAATTAAGAGACTGTATAAAAATCCAAATAAGACCGTTGATTAATCAGAAAAGTTACAAATTAATTAAACAAGATAATAACGGGTCATTGCACTCAATTGTTTCAAGGTAAAAGATTTAAGTGTTTAGAATTGCCACAGGCGGTCTCTCTTCCTACTGCGTATGAATAAAGAAAGATCTCTCACTGGAACAAGGCTTATGGATCTGGCCTTATCTGTCACTTTTTACTTTCAATACAGGTTCCCGTGGGATACGACGTTTTGTATAATTACAAGTAAATCAGACGCTGTCGCGAATTTACTCTCAAATTTACAGTTTAATGAAATTTTAATGCCTCGTTCATTGGAACATTTGTCGAAAACATTACAAAAATTTTCATATAATTATGGTTTAAAATATTTAATAAGCAATAAATTGCATACATTAATAATTTTATATACTTTGCGTAAGTAATAGATTAATTTTTAAATCCTTATCCACATGTGCTATTTCGTTTGCATTAAAAGAAGTAAATAAAACTAAGATTTTGAATACAATAAGAAGTGCAGATAACATAGTGGTACAAATACACGGGAGACGGATAAACCTTTTACTGAAAATAATATGAAAAAAATGGTACCATACTGAAAATAACGACCCTACGGGAGTAGGATAAGGGGAATGATGAGGACGATGATGTGGTACAATACTGAAAATAATCATAAACACTTCGCTTCGTAAGCGCCTCTTGTGTTTCAGACGTCAAAATTTTAATGGAATTTAGAGCTTAAGCATTATAATTAAAGACGCTGTAAGTTACTTTAATGTTGTTTCAGTATCCTGTCTTAACTAACTTAAAGTAAAAATGTTTCTCGTATTTAAAATTCACCTCAATCTCTCGATAACATTTGAAATATAAATAACTTACTCATTTCCAGACAAATAAATAATAACCAAATAAAAAGAAAACATTTCTGCGACAAACGTCGACGCATGTCCAAATACGTGTGCAAATATCAAAATTCAATGCGTCGAGTTTATTGCAAAATATCATCAAGCGTACCTCGATTTAAAATGTAACTTTAATAAGGTATAAATCTGAAATGGCCGTTACCTAACCTCGTGCGTGTGGGAATGTGTAATAAGTCAAAACGTGTACAAAATCATCAAATAAATACGAGAATGTTTAACGCACAAGTAATTTTTCTTAGGAAAAATTCTATCCACATCTCTCGGGGTCCTTATGAAAAATTATTCACGCTATTTCAGATTCAGGTACGGCTTACGTATCACTTATGACAGATTTCTCAGTTCATAACCATAAATTTTCCAGTGTGCAAGATACTCGTGGGAACGAGCCTCGGGCACCGTCGACCACCAACACCGATCGACTTTTCACTTTCAACGACAGGTTATATTAAAATAAACTTTACTACTTAGCAATAGAGTTCATTTTCTATTACTTAAGTTTAATCTTTGTTAAGAAAATAAAGCCGTTTCAGAAAATTGCGCACTATCAAATGCATGTACGATACTCGTTCTAGTAATAAAATAATATCTTTACGCGTTACTTTTAAATGTATTTATACATTTTACTAATCTTACTAAAATCAATGCGAAAGTTTGGATGGACGGATCTTTGTTCGTATTTGTAGCCTAAACTGCTGAACGGATCTCGTTGAAATTTGGTATAGATGGAGAGGATAGTCTGGAAGAATACATAGACTACTTGTTTTTTTTTGGTTCGACGCAGACGGAGTCTCGGGCGAGAGCTAATATTCAAATTAAAGCAGCACTTGTTTACTTACGCACTAATAGTCTTTACAAACCTATTTTAACAGAACTTGAATTCCGAAAAAAAAATCTTACGAAATTGACACCAACCGTATATTAACTGATTTTTAGGTTATTTTCCTGTTTTATTTTATATTATAACGCTTTCCACTACGCCTGATTTAAAGGTTTTAATGAGTTCTCTTGTTTCACAATATTTAGTAGCACCGTTTATAATTAGAAGTGAAGGGCGAAAATAAAAGTACAAGTAGGTACTTTAGTTGTAAATTTATCAATAGCAGGTAATTAACTAATTTATTTAAATGTAGAATTTTTTTGTGTCTACCTACACGATTGTAATATATTTTGACATAGATACAATGTACTAGAAAAGTGACAATTAGAGTAAGTCTTTTCCTTTAAAAACAATCTATATTTGTTCTTAAAAATTGAAAAGTACCTACGTTTAAAAGTTTGATTTATAAAAGACAAGCACTGTAACATTAAACTCTTGATTAGGAAAAATGCTTATGTATTCAAATAAAATTAGGAGGAATAAAAGGCATGTACTTTGATCAATTTTGTATTTTTAGTAACAACTAATCAATATTTTAATCATAAATAATTCTAATGTACAATCAATATTAAGTCAACCAGAAATGGTCACTGGACGAAATAACTTCAAATTATGTTAACTACATACAATATTGAGATTCAATAGTTTAGCTGATTTCATTTACCTTAAATATACATTTTAAATACTAAATTCACATAAATAACTTAAAAAAAAAATCGAAATAAACACACTATTTACATGCATTACCAACGGTATTTAAGGCAAGGTTAACTGTCAGAATTAAAAAAAATCCCTTTTGATATTAAAAATGGCACTGATATCGGAATTGAAAGACATGTTACTTTAAAATACTTTTATCACATTAGCTATCTTTTAAATTAGAAAAAGGATTATTTCAATCCATTAATGGATTTAAATTACAATTAAAAACCACTTCAGTCTTTTAACTCCAACATGGAATATACTTTAAAACATAAACTAAGTAATATTTCTCATTACAAAGTTTAATACGAATAAAATTAATAACGCCTTTTGTTAAAATCACCGATATTTTATCGGATTATATTGAAATTAAAATTCAACTCTAAAATAAATTTAGAGCATGGTATAAATTAAAATGGTTTAAAATAAATATCTTAATAAAAAGGATTGGATTATGAAGTACAGTTAGCTGCATAAATATGAATTCAATTACCAAGCAACAGAAACTTGTATACACTTTCGGTTTTAAAAACATATTATATTGTGTGTATTTAACATAAATGATTGTGTGGCTGTATGCTTCTATGTTTACATGCTATTGACTGATAGATGTATTCATATTTTTAAAAACAAAATCCTAAACAATTTTCTAAAGTTTGGTAAACGTGAACATTTTTTTGTAGCTGACTGTACATTTTTAGGCCATTCTATATATCGAATAGTCCTAACCTAACATTATATCACATTTGAAATATCATTCTTCTCAACGCATATTAATTATTAATAAAGCTTTTTTTGCAAACTGTCGACTTGTCATTAATTTTGTATCATTGAAAAATAAATAAAACTCATTTTGGAAGAAGTCAAAGTCCCGGTTAATTGAGAAAAGATTTTGTTTTATTTCAATGTCGGTCAACAGTTCGCAGTTCTTACTAATGAAATAATTAAACTATATTACAATAGGAAACGACGTAGTTAAACATGCTTCTGTACAATAATTAATTTTATAAGAACGGTAATGAGCACAGTGCGTCAACTGACTACACGTTGCTTTATCTAGATGTATCGGACGCAACACGCATTCACTATTATATGTATAATACTGATTATTTAATTCGTTTAATATTTAATTAAAATTCTCGAGAGCGTTTATCTCGTAATGTGGGACACTTTTACGATGGCGCTACTTACTGACCGATAAGGGCCGAACGCAGCTTCGGGCGGCGAACACCCAAGAAGTCACTTTATGTAAATGATGTTAAGTCACAGAATCCATTAACTCGCCAAATAATTAATATAAAATTATAATTACAAGATAATTTCGCTCCCGAGCCTTAAAACAGTTATTGCGACCGTGCACCCGACTCATGCGTCGATAAAACAAAAAATATTTGTAAAGCCGATATAAATATTGCTGTCGTAACATAACGGCAAATATCTCCATTAATATTTAACTTTGAAATGATATCAACTAATACCATTTAAAGTAGTCTTTGATGTTTAATGTGATGTGACTCGTTTCTCCGGAACATCAAGATCATGTCAGCGCGATAATTAGAATCAATAATTTTGACAGCTGCCATGCCGGGTAAGGAAACCAACAAGTCCAATTTCGTATGTAAGCAAGTCGGTAGGAGTGACAGAAATAAATCGTCGTAAAACTGGCCTCATTAATATCCTAACGCCAGCGTATACAAAAGTTACCTTCTAGATCACATGTTCGCACTTAATAGCCAAATAAATTAACTAAACGAGCAATCGTTTATATTCATTTTAGGTCGGATCATTTACAAGTGTATAAAAAATCAATAGTAGCATAGAAAGAACTATTTACATAAATCTTCCGAAGAGGAATAAATGACGCGATTATATACACCGTTTGTTATCTGCTCACTATGAAACAGGTCCACTCTCGCGTCCGTCGCGACCGAGGTACCGCCGACACGCGGCGCGGTTTCTCTCGGTGATCACATACGTGTACACATCATTAGCGTTCGACTATCTATAAACATGTGTGGACCACTTTTTCCGTGCGACACGTTTTACATTTGACTTCGCAGCACCAGTGAAAGGTGCAGTTGCACCTCTCCACCACGAACTTGGTCTCGGTTTTGTAGCCGCGACCGCAGCACATCAGGTCGCAGCCGTCCACACCGATACTCGTATCGTTGCAAGCGCGCCCGTGGGTGCCGGGAATGCCCAGCCGAGGATTCTTCTCGCAAAAGCCCGGGGAAGACTCTAAATACACGAGATCTTTCGCCCCCGGGGCTTTGTGGTCGGGGTTGTACGGCCGGAGCTGGAATCTGTAGCGATCCCTCCTCGGCACTCTGTGTGCTCCGGGATCATTCCTCAGTACGGGAGTTTCGACATCAGAGTTGCTCATCAAAACCCTAGATGCACCATCGAATCGGTCTTTCAACGCATCTCCAACGGAACGGAAACTCGGCAAGCGCATCCAGCAAGTCTTCACTGTGCACGATCCAGACATTCCATGGCACTTACATTCTTGACGCATCTCTGACTGGACATGCTGCAACAAAAAACAATACGTAAACAAAAGATGAAACATTGAAAACTTAATTAGTAACGTCTCGCGAGGAGGTCTGTAATGATGTCCAAATATCTATAAATTCCTTCGATAACAGTCGAAAGGTGATCGATGGTTTAACAAGCACACTCCATCGATCGCATCTCACGATCGAGCAAATTGTTACAAATCGTGGTGAGGTGGGCCAGTCGTCACCGCGCGAACGTATACAATAAATCATACTCTAGGGACATTCATCATTCTTAGAAGGTAGATAAATGACGCGGGGTTGGAGACTGTAAATATTTTACAAGGACCGAGGCAGGCGCTTCGTAGAAAGCAGACGGTATTTATTCATTCACATGTAGATAGCCGAGCCCGAGTACGCTCTAGTGTCCAAATATGCGTTAAACAATCGATGGAATGCTGTGAATATTCATCACACGGACACCCAGCGCGAGTGTCGTGACGGGAATTAAGCGCGACAGTTAACGACGCGCCTGGGTGACTCGAGGCGTCCGGCGATCCTTTTTGATGAATTTTAGGCAGGAACGGACAGTGGGTATGCAAATGTGGGTGTGCGGTGGGAGGGAGAAGCGCGAGCGCAACGAATGGGTGCCCGGTGCACGTCGCCACGCGATGGGCCGCGCCGCCGCCGTCTGGCGCATAATTAATTTTAGACTTAAGCGACATGTCAAGTGGCTGACAATCGATCGTCACCCGTAATGGTAATGTAAACACGAAGCGGCGACATGTCCGAGTGCGATTGTTTTATGGATGTTTATAAACGGCTGCCGTTCAAGTGGCGATTGGACGAAGAGTGTCGACCGATCGGTGCGGTGGCATCCAATCATCACTCACAAACTTTTACCCGTTGATTGCCTCGTTTTTGTCACAGACGTGACTCGACTGGATATAATGGATGTCGAACCGGATTCATTACAAACTTTCTCGATTAATAACGTCGCTTTAGAGTCTTTTACCGAGCCTACTACGATAGAATCATGAACCCAGTATACGTACGTTAATGTTGCTTAATACTCCTGTGGTATTAAACCAACTTATTAGAAAACGGGGACAAGTGTTTCTAATTTAGCACGTTAAAGCTTCGTAGGTAGAACACATAATTGAAGTTAAAATGTTTGATGAAGAGATGAACTTACCGCTCTGCCGGCCTCGTTATTGTGTAGGTTCATCTTCTCTCTTAAGGTCTTGCCTCGTTCACCGGTGTCGACAAACTCCCGGCTGAACCTGAAGCCGAAGCCGATATTGTCGCTGCAGCCGCCCCACTTCCAGACGCGCACGTTGGCGGCGGCGGCGGCGCGGGTGCGGTGCGGCGTACGTTCCAGGTGTGAGTAGTCGCACGTACATGACTCGATGGAGCCCTCGGCACAGGCGCGCGACACCGCGTGTGTTACTCCGGCGCTCGTTATTGCGTAGATGAACGCCGTCTCACGGCATCCTACGAACAAGTAAATGTTGATCAAATATTTTGTCATATAATAACAAACTTAAAACAAGAACTTAATCCTATTGGTAAAGAAGAAAATATGCTGGACTTCCCTTATCAAAATAACAATCAATAGTATCGATATATCTAGAAGCATGTAAAGTGATAAAAAGAAAAAATAAACATTCACAATTAAGTATTCATAATATTGACTCAATTCACAGTACCGTTAATAAAATATTCGATAAATCATAAAAATATTATGACACAAAGGCTAATAAAATATTAATTATCAACTTAAGAATATCAAATAAGTTTTGTTAAGAGCGAATTGAAGAATGCGCGCGTGGGCTCGTAATGAAACAACCTTCTTTAATATTGTTGTTTTGATAATAACAACGGATTGTTTACGACATTTCTCACATAGGCATGTACGGTATTCTCATAATTAATTCATACCAAACATAAGAGGGTCCTGTATTTTAATCAAACTTTATTATTGCTTGGGGCATGCGAGCAAAAAAAAATCTCATATCGTTAACTTGGGTAAGTATCGAAAATATTCGGAGTTCATCGCAAATTGCAACGGGTTGCGAGGGTCTAATGCTCGATCGGTATTTAAAATATATAATTCCCTCTTTATAATTCCCATTTAACATCTCGCGATAATTAAAAAACGAGTAAAACCGTCATACAGTGAATTCACACAAAGTTACAATTTAATAAAAAAGTCAGTAATACTTCAACACAATAATCCATCTAGTCCCGTATCGAATACTATAAATAATTAATAGCTACGCATTAGAATCAAATACTCATAAAATACAATTAAAAGAGAGAGGGTATATCTCGAAGATTGAAAATAAAAGAATTGCTTACCTACACGGGAGAATATAAATCTGATCATTACAAGAGGGCGCGCATCGAATTCCCTTTCTTAATATCGATTTAATAGCCTTCGTACTCTAATGATTAATATTCGATATCCAATGTCTATGTGTACGATACAACCGACAATAAGATAATGATGTGTTAACAAAGAAATGAAGTTTAAATATAAAATTGTATACATTTGTAAATTTACTTAATGATGCAATATCAAATATCGACATGAAACACATTGTTAAATTTACCTAATGAGGAAATATGAGATTTACGATCTTGTAATATTTGTAAGGAAATCATTGTTTAAATCATATCGTGTGGGTTTACATTGTTACGAAACTTATGCATTATGCATTGAACTACCAAAACTCATTACTAAATTAATATACAATAAAATGAATATTCCGTCATCTCTCTTGGTGGTCCGATTGGCAGATCGTTAAACGTTCACAAATTCAGAAGTCTTGTGTAATAAAATAAGTAAATAATTGTACTTAAGTTCGATAATTAAACGAGCAAACCGGCAACTAGCTGTCGCCCGCGACTCCGTACGCGTGGAATAAAAAAACAAAAGCAAGTAACCTTTGTGTTCTACTATCAGTTTAGGCTACAAACTCTGACAAACTTCTATCGATCTAAACATTCGCATTTATAATATTAATGAGATAGTAAGATTAATAAAAAATATTCGTGTCATATTAAGTTAATAATAAAAGTGTTCAAGGTTAAAACTACTGCGCAAAAAATTAATGATTCATAATTATTATAATTAGACGTCAAAATTATTAATTCCATCACCCTTGGTGGTCCCAGTAAATGTCCACCAGTTCAGTAGTAAGGAATGTTGTCAAAGCATTTAACTTATACATATTTATACGTATTTATACTAACAATATGTGGAAAGAACGAGGTTGAACGTTATTAAGGACTCAATAAGCAAATGAAATCATTTTTTTATTGAGTTGTCATCGTGGGCCCGATATAAATTACACCGAGCGCACACCGGCGCGGCTATCCGCTTCGGTTTCGCTTTTTGTGCTTTCATTTTTGATGTTACACAAAAGTATTTTATTCAGCAATTACTTGAGATGTTCGAGCGGGAATTTTAATGTCAATTTCGCCATCATTCAATGCTCGGACGGAATTAATTCAAGGCGCAGAATCCGAATGCGAACGGCCGCGGAGTCAAGCATTTATCTTCTGTAATGAGTTGGAAACGTTCCTTCGCATTAACTATAACAAATAGACGCTGGCCAATTAAATATGGCACACGTAAATTACGCTCGTAAAATGATAGCTTTCGGCTAATCCTATTTACTGTTGACATCTTAACGGACGTATAAAAGTTGTAGTTGTTTGGACAGGGTCATAATTATATCGTTGATTGCGACACCTTTCCAAACGTTATCTTAACTAGCACCAGTTACTAATATTATAAATGCGAAAGTTTAGATTGATGGATGTTTGTTAGAAGATATCTTCAAAACCACTAAACCAATCACGATGAAATTTGACACAGATATAGAACAAAGTTTTGATGAACACATATGTTACTTTTGTTGTTTTAATACCTCGCGGTAGGAGTTGGAAGCAAAAGATAGTCTCTAAATCATTATCACTATCACCATTGTGATAGTGACACATGATTTTTCTTACTTATGTCTATCAGTTTTTACAATATTTGGCGAATAATAGTTATTTTTGTTTACGTATATCGAAGTTATAGAAATACCGTTTACGGGTGGCTTGCACCACGTGCTGGGAGTTAATATAGTTACATCGTACAACGGATAATATCTAGGTTTGATATTATGAATGCCCGCTGAGAATTTAATGTTGATATTTTTATTATGCATACAAGATAGAAGATAACGCAATTTTATTGCTTATATGGAATTTTAACAGCGTTACAGACGTATTGATTGTCGACGCGATGGTAAGGTTGTTCGTTAAATGATTCATTAACTAGCCTCAACTTTTACGTAATTTATTACGAATTCAAGAGCGCGCGCACACCGTTGATTACATTATCGCACAACTGTTTAGTCGCGCATTGATTCCTATGAGTTTGTATGAAGGTGCGCACATACCCGAATTTTAGTCGTGCAATTAAACGGTTAAATTGGCAGCAAAACAATCGACAATCGGACAACAGCGTGCGATAGTTAACTGAAAGGTGTGCGCTCTAAACATACGATACCGTATTTCTATTATTACTCGAAGGAAGGAATTAAAAAGTTAATTTTACGGTTTTAAATCATTACTATCATACTCAAAGACAACATTAAAATAATTAATGGGATTATACGAATAAAAAAATCAATATTTTATTTGTGCACTGCGGTCGACCATCGATTTTTTCCCGACAACAAAGGAGATTTGCAAATAAATCGCGACGTAGAATAATTATGACAGATGTAAAGACGCACATCGGAGACGGTACATTAGTCACGGCATTAAATTTAATAAAAAACGGATTTACTTTATCTATACGGTTAATTAACCAACAAAATCTGACACAAACTCGACTATCAACATTAATTACTATTACATATTCGTTCACTAAAAAGTAAAACTTAGAAACCGGATTTTTATAGGTTTATTAAGACATTTTCGCTCCCATCATACCAGAGTCAAATAAGAACAAATATGATTAATGTGAACCAATAAAACTTATTATTATAAATGATAATAAAGTGCTGTCGGTGAATTATCTGTGCGTAATAAATGGTCTTCGGGTCGTTTTACAACGCGACCGAGCATCGAGCGATAATTCCCGGCCGCTCGATTGGCAGTTAAGAGAGGTGTTAAAGATTTATAAAAGTCAAAAAGTCGTAAATAAGCCATGTCCAAGCCTGGGCTAAATAAAACTTAATCAATGTTGACAATTGACGAACGCCCCGACTATTGCTGTTAAATAATTCAAAATTAACGCTGTAATTAAATCTGTACCCGTCAGCGTTAAGTCGTCGTAATGTGTTCCGGTAAGATTAATTCTAAAGATTGACTTATTATGGTTTCGCGCCTCAGAACGTTCGTACCTTATTTATGGCGATTCAACTTATTCAAATTTGATGTGACGTGATTATTCAAAACAGCCATAAATCACCTGTTTGGCTTTTATACCGTCGAGGACCGTTGCATCGGACACGATCACGATGAGCTCATAAAGGTTGCTTATTTGCTTTTAAACGATAATATAATGACTTTAATCTACTATTGGATGTATTTATTATGATGAACTTTGATAAAATATCAAAATCTTTTTTTTTTTATAGATTGAAAAATGAAATTATTGTGATAATTGCATTTATTCTTAACGGTTATTGTTTTATTTCATGAGAGTTAGTCGTAAAAGAGCATTTGTTTTATAATAATCTCTCTTTTTCTTCTAAACGGACAGTTGGACACTTTAAGGGAATTTTTATAGTAAAAGGACGACTAGAATAGAAGTAATAAAGTGGTGTAATTCATTTTCGTTATGCCATGTTATGGGTGATAATTTAACATTGAATCCCGAGACGGAGGCATTCCTGTGACAATTCAGAATTACGTCGCTCATATATCACTCATTGTGCGCGGCACAAAGCCCCGGCTACCACTCGCTACCACCTACCACTCCCTCACCATTCATACACAGCACAAAGACATTTGTTTTCAAACTGCCAACGAAAAAAAACGCACCGAACATAATTAGTCTTTAAGTGAGCTATCTCGGAATGCAACCGTTAATAAAAAACAAAAAAGACAAGGTATATTCGCATCGACAATATCGCATTAACATCGACCCATTTCTGAATCACAAATCGTTCGTATCTCAAAAACAATTCAAACGCCACCAACCTAAAAGTCTTATCTAATTGAGCATTACATATTTCGTCGAGGGCATTTTATATCCGATTTTATTTTGGGTGCGGAACGTTTTGTACCTTTTATCCACCCACGAGATCGGGACATCGGGAGACATGACTTCAGTAGGAGAAATATTCCTAAGGTCGTTTTATTGGGTGAGTTACCTGCTATTAGGATCGGCTATAGGTGTAGGACGCTTCCGTGCGTGCAGGCGTCGCTAAACTGCGCGGCGGGCGGCCCGCAGCGGGCATCCGGACCCTATCGATCTATTCTCAGCTCGACAATGACCCTTTCTACAAAGGATCTTTATAAAGTTGTCATCGTCCGTGTTAATACGATCCTTGAGGTTTGCTACAATGCAATGAAGACGTCAAGACCATCAATGGCGTGTCAACGTCTGATTTTGTTCCGCTTTAAAGTGTTTTGTACTTACGAGTGATAATTACTAAAACGGAACCCTATTCAGATGAACTGAGCAGACTTGAAATCAAATATACGACATTTTTTATGTAAGTAGCGTTGTGACGAGCTCCTGCGGAGTTCGCATGTCCGTTTTTATTCGTTTCACAAACGTAATTTCGATGTATTAAAAATGTTTATAGTATTTGCGTGGGACCTGTTATACCCGCGTGGCGTCCCGACCTCCCTTCATAAAGCAATACACTCTAAATGCATCAACTTACATACATTTTATTATCTCTTGTTTATTTTTATCGATTTAAATTACGACGGTAGTCCGTAACCCCGTACACTGGATTTTAATTTACAAAAATGTTACTCTACTTTTATAGTTTATTGGCTATTGAATAAAATTACTACGTTTATTTTTGCTTTAGGCGTTCTCTGACATGCATAACTGTGTCGAGGCGTTTCTCTAAACGATTACAAAACTATAATAAATAATAAAGCTATTAATCAATGAACAGTTATGATATAGTTCAATATTTCTAAAGATATACAAAGTTACTTTTACTGTCAATTACGTTGTTTTTCTATTTTTAAATTAACTATCGTAAGGGTGAAAAGACTCATATACTAATTGGTATATCCCAATTTTCAAGAGATTTAACATTTAATTGTGACTAAGTTCTTAGTCGTTTAGTCTAGTTCTATACTAGCGGAAGTCATTAATGTGGTTCGTTAAACGCTACTAAGGGTACAAGTAAAGAGAGAGCATTCAATACCGTAGGTCAGTATGTCGAGTCTGATAAAGGTCCCTATTCTATGTCCGAGAGACATTTCCAAGTGAAGGCTAATAGAAACATCGTTTACCCAAACCGTTTGCGCGTGTCATTAACGTAAGAAGCTTTTGGGTCAATAACCGGACCGCACCGGTCAATACGATCCCGATATCTCGCATACCGAATTCGAAATGAGATCGAATTAGAACGAGATACGGGAGTGAATGCTCTTAATTTTGAAGATAACCCCCTAATGTGAGCTGAACCCCCGTCTATGCCTTTTAGTGTTATGCGCTTTTATCGATTAAATCCGGTACATTTCTCATCTATTTTTGGTACAATTTGTTTTATTATCGACGATGTAGGTCACATTATATGTTTTGTAACAACAAAATTATTACATTCACTATCATAATGTTAAAAATGTGCAAGAACATCACTGTTGCTTGAACTCTTCCTTTGGCTATGTTAAAATTTATTACTTTTTAATTTTATCGTCCCAAAAAAAATACTTAAAAATTGATTGCCTGGTCTGGCCTTTTTGCCGTAATAATGAATAAATGCGATGTATGAACCAGATGTTCGCGAGACCATAATAAGGTGTATCGCATACAAAGCATCGAAATCGGACACCGGAGATAGGGCAGACCTGACCCAAGCGACAAATTTATTCAAACATATACATACAACATACACAATCTAATTTCAACCTTATTCTTATAACAATAAGCAACATCTTAAAATTTCTTGACAGCAAAAGGGAGTACGGACAAGTTGTTGTAAACATTTTAATTTTCGTGAGTGCTTTATGAATCAATCTCGCCTTTCTTATTGCGTATATATTCTTGAGCGTTACAGAAAATAAATACGACCCGTTCCCTTTTTGAGGAGACAGGGTATTCAATTTTGTAGTCCAATCTTTATTATACAGCTAATGGTGAGCTTTTTGCAGATTTTTATCTATAGATAACATCTAATTCTATTGAATAGACGCAGTGGAAACCGGCGCAATTGTGAACCGGTGTTAAGAGGATGAAACACGTTTTTAGTTCATTATCTATAATGCATCGAAGCGGAATTGACATAGATTAAGATCCAATACTAAGATCAGTTCCTACACTAGGTTGACTACATCTGAAGGCATCTGACTGAACAATTATTAAAATATCCGTCTATTTTTTTAAATCTCAATATGAGATAAAATAATAGCTTTGAAAACACTTTTATCACAACTATTGTAAATGTTTCGAACATGCTGGATAAAGGCAATAACGTCCATTTAAAAAAAATGCATTCGAAATTCAAATAAAAAGCAACATCGATAAACGGGAATCCGAACGTCACTCGGTCGCATGTAATTGATCCGGGACGTTTTATCTTGATGAGCCCTTTATATGTGCCCCCGACGCGCTACCCTCCCATGAATACAGATAAAATCTTTTAAAAGGGTTGCCAACTAAAGATATCACTTAATTTGTAGCTACTCTTTGTAACCGGGATTAAGGGGACTTGTTATAAAAAAAACAACAGTTGCCGTTTACTTTTTTAACAAAGTACGAATTTCAGATTTGGCTACAACTTATTGATTTCATTTTTTAAAAGATTATAACTAAAGCACGAAGAGAGATAATGTATTCTTTAGTGTTTTGCAAAAGGTTTAGAGCTTATCTTCTTATGTCGAGTTTTGTTTTTTTAGCTTTGTTTCGATAATAAAAATTGAAACAAACGAATGACGCGTGTTGCTAAAATCTCAAATTAAGCTTTGTGTTTTTTATTGTCCGCTTATTTTTTAAATATCGGATCGAGGAACGTGAGCCAGGTATTAAATTGTCAGGCCTGATCAACGTTAGGTCCTAATTAAGACTATAATAAATAATTTTAATATTCAGTTTCCATTATGCTTATCTTATAATTTGCTGGAGTTGTTCGCTTAAGAGACTTATGGTGTAGATAATAAATCTTACTTCGACATCGTATCAAAATATTTAAAGGTTTGTGTACACTATTAAATATATTATGATATACATAGCGTTCAAATTAATGTTTTGTTTATCAATAAATATACACTAGAAATTTATTAATTAGTTACTCGAAAAGTTTAACTTGTTTTAGTAAAGGACTCCAAATCGAATGGATACTGAAGCAATTCGCTTCGTAAGCGCTTACCATCTTACAGACGTCAAAGTTTGTAAGGAATTTGGAACATGGCCTTATTTAAGACACTATTACATACTTAAACGGCGTTTCAGTATTCACGAGAATGATATAAAATGGATATTAGAACATGTCTTACCTCGATCAACAATTTTTCCGAATAAATTCTTTCCTCTTAAGAAATTCCTCGTCGTACAGTTCCATCTTCTGTATTTGAACTGATGTTGGCATTCGGCGACGGCCATGTTGGCGCCTTTAGCGACGGCTGTTAGAACCCCCGGGTTCTCCTTGGCAAGCCG